GTCAAAAATTAATTTGATAAAAGTAAAAGAAGTGACTAGAATATGAAAGCAGAGACCAGGAGTAAGAAATCATTACTAGAAATCAGAGTCTTAGGGGGCCTTACTGACTCATTTTCAATTTCCCCTTGACAGTCTACACAGCCCTCTGCTGTGCCTGCCCATTCTATCTTCCCCTAGTAATTCCTCCTCCTGAGAGCCGGGTATAGTGAACCCCCTGTTTACACCATTTGGAGCTGTTACCTTGTCACCAAAACACATCAACATAATGGCTGTAAGGTCATTATATGTCAGCAAAGCTCCTGGAAAGTTGAAAATAAAGTTTATGAAAATAACAGAGAGCCAAAATTTTGCGTGGCTATTTAGATGAACTTCATATTTGTTTCCTGGATAAAGTTTCCATTTTTGAAGCTGTGCTTTAAAAAGGAAGAAAGATAGCATCTGTGGACAGATGGAGCCAAGAAAATAATACATAGGAGCTGATGTTGATTTGAAAGTAATGGTAATGATATTAAGCAATGCAGATTTATAGCCCATTCACAATGATACATTTGTTTCTGATTTCAGCTAATTAAGACCATTTTGTTTCTTTTCTGCTACCACATGCAGCCTTTAAGAAAGAAAAAGCAAATACACATATATATTTTGGAGAGACTCCAGACTTCAGCATTTTCATGTCAATGCAAAAGAAAAAAGCTGGATGCATATCCTGACACAAGGATTGCATTTGTCAGCTGCTGTACTTACTACAGTTATTCAGACTGTTCCTGGGGTCGCAAAGAGAGCTACCACCACATGAATCAAGGCAGGAATTATAGAGGCATCTTTGGTCGCCTTCTCGACATGGAGTCCGACCTACAGAGGAGGAAAAGGCACATTCGCTTTCATCATCTGTAAATTCCTTACACTAGGATCTGAAGGATAGAGAATGTCTGCTGGAGCTGAGGAATGACACAACTTTCATTTCTTTCCAATTTCTCCACAAATATTGCACATATGGTTCATAGGTGCTTTCTGAATTAATTTTCCTGGCAACCACACACAACGTCGTTATTCCTAAAGGATTTTGTAGGCAAGAAGAAATGAGGCAACCAACCTATCCTAAAGAAACAGGTTATTGTTGCTTTCAGTGGTAAAAAAGATCATGTTTTATATTTACATAGGTGCATATACTTGATCACAAAATAAAATTTAAGTAATTTGAGGGAGAGGCCAATATAAAAATCCTGAAATTTTGAATATTAAATAATACTATTTTAAAAACTCATTTGCTGCCGACGCTAGTCTTCTCTCTAAAAGAAAACACTTTCCCTAATAAGAAGTAGATCCATCAACACCAACAACACAATAAAAGTACTTTATCATGGTGCAGCTGTTATCCATATTTTCTGTATGTCCTTGGAAAGTACCATTGGCCTAGCTGTGATGACCTGAGGATTGAGTTTCTTGTTTCTAAATGAATGACAACAGTAACGTCAGCCTAATGGCTTTTCCTTAAGGTGTGTAGAGAGAAAACTGTTTTTCCCATTGATTCCCTGGTCATTTGTAGATTAAATATGTAAAGTAATGAATTACTGCCCTCCTCTTTGTAGCTGTCCTCCATTATACTCAGTTAATTTCACACACGTCATCTGGAATCTAGGAAATCTTGCAAGGCATGTTTAAGTATAAATGATAGTAAGTGTATTTCAGACAATCATTCTTATTTATAATTCTAAGATAATGTTTATTATACTGGACTTTGTCTCCTTTCTAGTATCTAGATATACAACATATCATAGTATTGCAGAAAAGAGAAGTTATTTTATTTATTTATTTTTTGGTCCGCAAAGTCAAACTTTTTGTGCAAGGTAAGCCAGGCTAATTTCCACGAGTTTAGTCTCTTAAAGACATTTAATTAAAACAACATGCATTCATTATTTTAGTACATATTAAGTGCCTGCTATGTGACAAGCTCATATGACAAGCTAGACCATGAGCATTAAAAGAAAAACATAGATGACAGTTGATGCTCTAATTAGGGATGTCATCATGAACAGAAACTTACAATACTGTGTGATCATTGCTTTAGTGAAAGTACATAAAAGGAGCAGGAGAAGCAAACCAGTGCACTAAGGGGAAAGCTTCTCAAAGGAGTGTTTCGGGCAGATGGGGCGAGTTGGGATAAGAGGGAAGATGGGTTTCCCAGGCAGACAGCAGAATATGCAAAGGCCTGGGGTGGGCAAGGGCAGAGTTGGGGTCAGTGGAGTTAAAGGAAAATTAGACCAGAAGGCAGAGAGCAGAACCTGAGGGTTTAAAACCTGCAGGCCTAAATTTTCAACAGGGCCCAAATCCCTGAGAGGAGTATATGTTTCCTGCTTCCCTCCCTCGTGCAGCACAACCAGCCTGCAGTCGCTCGCTGACAAAACATTCTGTAGTAGCAAGCTCCTCTTCACTCTCAGCTCTCTAACGCAACGGCCTTCTCCCAGTATCCTAAACATAGGTGGCCCCTTCCCTCCTTGGGTCCTTGGGCCAAGCAGCTGCCTGTGTCTGAAATGCTTTCTCCAGGCCCACCTTCCTTTGCTAATCCCACTCATTCTTCAGCTCTCAGCTCTGGTATCTCTTCCTCAGGGAAGATTCCCTGAGGCCCTTTGGCAGAGCATGCATACTATATATATAGTCTCTTAGCACCTTGACTTTTCCCCATGGCCTGTGTCACTTCGTGGTAAGATGCTGACGTGTGTAATTATTTGTATCGTGCCTGTCTCCCCCAGGAGGCTCCAAGCTCGATGAGCTGTTTTGCTTGCCTCTAAGTTCCCAGTGGTTCACCACAGATTAGCACCACAATATACATTTATTAAGTTGAATTCATTAGAGTAAATAATATTAAGATGCTAAAATTTTACTTTTCGATCCATTTTATCATGTAACTTTCTTACATCTCAAATCTGTAAGGAAATAATTTACAGAGCCTGTCATTGCATAATAAAGAATCCAAAATTATTTCAAACAGAGTTGAATTATGTAGGAAGAAAGAACAATTTGGTCCACAGAGAGGTTCTTGGTTGATATACGCACAACTCATGCCTAGAAAAGGATTTCCTTCGGAATTTTGAAATTGGTAAAATGAAGCACTGCTCATCTATTTTTTTTTTAAGTAATAAATCTGTGATTAAAAGGCTCACCCTTTAGGTCTGGAATGCTTTTTTACTAAAGCTATTCTAATGATTAATATTCATTATGACAAAACTAATTTAGCTACAGGTGACCAATCTCATTAGCTCCTTATAGATATACAGAGCCCAAGACATGCTTTAACAGAAAAGCTATATAATAATAGCAAACATTTATTGTCTCCATGTATCAATTGTATAAAGTAGTTATCATTATTCTGAGTTTACACACAGAGAAACTGACACATATGGGGTTAAGTAACTGGCCTAAAGTCAACCAGATAGTAGCTAACAGCTGGGGCTGCAACAACCATATTCTTACAAACTAGGCTATGACGGGACGTGGCAAGATCACTTATATACAAATGTGGTGATTTTTAAGTATAGCAATGTTTTCACCAGCCTTGTACTGAGAGACACTTCTACACAGACTAGGGCTTAAAACAATCAGCATGGAACTTTTTTCTGACAGACATGATCACATTTTAAAAACCAATTTATTTGATTTATTTTTTCTCTTTGAGTTTTGCAAATAGATATCAGGCTCCTTTTAAAGTGTATGTAAGGATATTGCTTCGTAATGTGAGGCATTAAACTGCTTTTCTGAACATGGTTCTTTCAGAAAGCTGTTACATTTCATTTCAGAAGCCAATTGCTTCTAATTGGAATCTAATCTAATGTCATCAAATACTATATACTGAACTTTTTAGCATGGTGTTGCCTTTCCGCATCAAGCAATTAACTGAATCTTCCCATGCTGTTTAAGTATTTAACCTCTACTCTTCACCCTCGGGAGTGGTTTTTCAGTATAAGTTTCTGGAGAATTATATTTATGACAAGACAGGGTTTTCTGACTGACCAGTGCAGTGAAGACCACTGTGTTAGGTAATCTGTCTGGAATTATTCATATAGGGATCCTATTTAAGCATTAGGTAACTTCTAACTTGTTGCTTCGTTCCCAAGGAAAGGCCCACCACTAAGGAATGTTTCAGAGGCTGTCGCACACACTTACCCTCACTGCAGTTCGCCTCGTCACTCCCATCCTTACAGTCCTCTTCTCCATCACACTGGAAAGTGCTGGGGATGCACTGTCCATTTCTGCATTCCACCAGACCCTGGCTGTGACAGGCTAGAAAAACACCAGGAATAATTCTCACATTACTTATTAGTACTCCTTTCAGTCTGCAGAGCAAATAAATGGCTCTTGTTTGTATGGCATCACCAAGAAATGAAGTGTTCTGAATATTTGAATGTGCTGCATAAAGGAAGGGAATGTGTCATTCATTTTTAAAATTCCAAGTGTTTTTGAAATGGAAAGTTTTCTTTCTAGAATTTTCCATGCCTTATTAAACAGCACTTACTTAGAATTCACTTCTCCTTGATAACCTCAGGATGGGAGTAGCACTAATGATGATGATCGTGATACAAGCACAATTTATTAAAGGCTTACTCTATGGCAATTACTGTGCTAGGAGAATTATGTGCCTAATCTCAAATCCTCATAATGAACAGGCAAAGTAGATGTTATCAACCTGGTTTAGAATAAAGAAACTAACACTTAGGGAGTTTAGTGGCTGTCTCCAAGTCACACAGCTGTTAAAGGATAGGGCCAGAGTGCGCAGGCCAGTTTCTCTGACTCCTAGTCCCAGCATTTCATTCCGTACAATCTGACCTAGTGAGCCAATGAAATGATACACATGAAAGAACTTACATAGTATCTAACATACAATAAACATTTTATTTCAAACTTGCTTATGATATCTGACATTGGAAGAGGATGGTCTAGTGGCCATTAACTTTCCAATTCCCAAATGTTGTCTAAATTCAATCACTATTGTCTTTCAGAGCATCAGAAACCATGTATCGTATGAGTTACTGTCGAACATTAAACTCCCTGTTCTTGAATCAAGGCTCAACACCAGAATCATTATGGTTGAGTATCATGTCTTCGCTTTCTCAAGATCAGTCAAGATAGAGTCTGTTCTGCTCTGCTGTGTTCCACTAAGCAAGGACTCAGGTGATATTCCAGCTCAAATTCAGGTCAGGAAAGGGGAAATCTGGACAAAATTGCATTTGTTAATTTATATGTCTTTTCTTATGTCAAAATAAAAACTATGCAACCTGCATTTTTATTTTTTGCCTCAAATTATAGGCAAATTAAATATTAGGTCTCTTATATATCAACTTTTTCTACCTTTATTGGACAGTGAAAGGTGGCATAAAATTTTTAATCATTCAAACATATGTAAAATGCATCATATTAACTCTTTCAGGTCAATATTACCTTCTCTTAACACCTAGCTGCATCTATTCAATTATTTATTATTTCTTGAGTATAGTGTAATTTCTGGGTGTGGGGGGTCTGGGAGAATTAATAGCCATGCTTGATTTTATTAGCTAGATAGTGTAATAGCTACCTGAAGACTGTTCCCTCACCCAGAATACAATAAACTATATAATAGACTATATAATACAATAGACTATAATTGTTATCATACTCTTTGTTTAAGTCTATGCACATTGAAGTCTCTCTTCTGTCTGGCAATTCTCCCCATGTTCTCCCACAAATGGTACCTGAGAATATGTTTGGAGGCTCCTGCAAGGAAGGTCAACCACTCACATATTATTTGCAAAAGGAAAGTCCCCCACCTCTGGGAAGAACATCCCCTTTGACAAAGTCACAGATGTAGGAAGAAGACGCAGGGAACAATGAGAGAGAAAACAGACACCTGTCTGACCAGGTTGGCCAAATGAAGCATAGAGTGCTGGTGAGGAAGGTGTGGAAGTCAGATATATGGCACTGTTATTGTCCTCACACCACTCAGTTATTATCTTTCTAGGTGAGGACTGAAAGGTAAGAATCTTTCCCTTTGAATGTTGTTTAGATAATGAACCTTGAATATATTGATCTAAACAAGCAAGAAATGGAAAAATAAGCAAAATGAAAATTCCCAGGGCACTCACAGCAGTTGACCTCGTCAGACTTATCCACGCAGTCATGGTCACCATCACACACCCACTCTATCGCGATGCAGCGCCCGTCTCCACAGCGATGTTCCTTTGTGGGATTGCAATCTGGAGAACAGGAAAAGTCCATGAGGAGGTATAGAACCAGCATGACAAACACTTAGAATTGTCTGGCTCATGGTTCCAATAGAAGAGAGTCTGTTTCAATTGTTCCAACACCTTCAATAACTTTTCTATAATGGGTGTGTCATAATTCACCTCCCATCCAAGCCTGTGGCCCACTAGCCATCATCACTATCTGTTTTTCTGATGAAAAACAACTGTCCAGCTTTCTCAGGACCCATGGTGTGTTGTTCTTCTTGTTTTGTTTGTTTGTTTGCTTGTTTTGTTTTTTGTATTGTTTTATCTTTGTTTTCCTTCTTTATAAAAAATTTGTGATTTTTACACTGGCTCAAATAAACAGAATTCTGATTTGGGTTTCACAAGGTAGGTAGCTGATTTGATGTATTTGTGACAGCTTTCTTATGGTTTCTGACACTTGCCATGCTGAGCATTCCTTGGATCATACTCCTGATGCTTTCTCAACATTCCTCTTGATATTCTTTAATGCTAAGTACTATCTCACATCATTTGCCCAGTGTCCCTTATTACCCCAACTTGTCCTTTTGTTTATATTACAAAGTTCTCATGTCACTCAATAATATCTTATTTAAACATTCTAAAGGTAACTACAAAATCAACAAGGTAAATAAGCAAGAGGAATTTTCTGATTTTATTCATAAGATGGCATTCAGAATTGAAAACAACTCTTTTTTTTTAAAGCAACTCTTTAAAAGGTAGGTTCATTCTTTAAAAGATAAGGTCCACTTTTGTACATCAAATAAATGTGCTGCCTTAACCCTATGTGTAACTGCTACAGAAGTCATTTCTGTATCATTTGGTGATCAACTAAAAGAAGGGTCTTTGGTTACATATAACAAGGAGATCAAGACACAGGCAATATATCTGTCTGCCAAGTATTGCTCAAGAGCTCAAAATCTAACCATGAGGAAGAACCAGAGAAGAAACAGAACACTTTCAAGGAGAAAATAACATGAACATATTGACAACCTGTACTTTCCGTTACACCCCACTTCTTTAGCATATCCTTAGCTTGAGTGTTTATATAAGAAGTATTAAATTTACAGATAAGACGTGGATGAGACTAGTAGTTGAAAAAACCTCCCCATTAAATTTACGTAAGTTTAAATGAAAAATTTAAGAAGACAATGCTACTTACCACAGTTTTGCTCATCGCTCAGGTCCCCACAGTCATCATATCCATCACACACGAGGCTATAATTAAGACACTTGCCCGTGTGACAGTGAAACAGATTCTCACTGCAATCTGCAAATAAGAGAAGTCACTCATGTGTCATTAGAACCTAACAGGATATTATAGTAGTACTGTATTTAACAGAAGCATATCGATAAAAGGGAGACCATAATAGCAACATGGTCCACATCTATTGTTTCAGTTGAGGAGACTGTGGTGCAGAGATCCAATGAATTGCTCAAGGTCACATAACAAGTTACTGCAGAACCAATCCAGGGACCCCGGTTCCCACCCAGAGCTTTTGTCACTTTTTAAGCCTTTATTGAACTTTCACTTTATGTCACCTATAAAGCTCCTTCATAGTCAAATATGAAAAAAGACATTCTCACTTCATCATAGTTCCTAAGGAAGTTCATGTTCATACAGAATCAGTGACTTTAATAGATGGTGAGCAGTCATTTCCTAAAAACGTTTCCCTTACAATGAAAATCCAGTTTTGTCAATGGTAAGCATAACATAATAGAGAGAAAAAGTTATTTGGGTTATAGAGTCATTACTTACTTTTACACAAACATTATCAATAAAGTCAATTGAGTGTTTCATAAGATGACCCTTAAGTAAGCAAGTACTGTCCTAGATTATGGTGGCAAGATAATGAGTAATACATAACCTCAGGAAGCTTATGGTTTAATGTTAGAATAAACAACATGCAAGGAAATTTTAATAAGAAGATGGGTATTGTACTTGGGCAAACCAGAATGCCTATCCTGGTTCTGCCATCTACCAGCTGTGGGAATTTGAGTGTATTCATTAAAATCTGAGTCTGTGAACTGATTTATGAAACCGGGGTAAGATCAGTTACTTAAGAGGGTATGGGGAAAGAGATTAATATAATAACGTGTGTAAGATGCCAAGACAATTCAATGGGAAAAGACTACTCTTCAACAAATGATGATGGGACAATTGGATTTCAAATATGAAAAATTGAACTCTGACCTTTACCTCAAACCATACACAGAAATTATCTCAAAATGGACCATACACTTAAGTGTAAGAGCCAAAATTACGAAGCTTTTAAGAAAATGAAAAACCAAGCCATATACTGGAAAAGAATATTTGCAAATCATGTGTCTGGTAAAGGATTTATAGCTAAAGTATATATAGAACTCTTACACTCAATAATTTTTCAAAACCCAATCACAGATAGGCAAAAGACTTGAATAGGAAGTTTTCATGGAGGCCATACAAGAAGCAAGTGAAAAGAAGCTCAATATAATTAGTCATTACGGAAATGCAAATTAAAACCACAATAAGATGCTATTGCATACCCCCCAAATGGCTATAACAAAAAAGACAGAGAATACCAAGAACTGGTAAAATTTTAGAAGAACTGAAACTCTCATATATCGCTGGTGGGGATGTAAAATAATAATGCCACCTTGCAAAGCAGTTTGGCAGTTTCATATAAAGTTAACTATAATCTTACCATATGATTCATGAATTTCACCCTTAGAAATTTATCCAAGAGAAATGAAACACATATTCACATACAGATTTGTATGTGAATGTTCATAGCAGCGTTATTCATAACAGCCAAAAACTAGAAACAATCTAAACACTCAACAACTGGTGGATAGATAAGCGAAATGTAGTATATTCATCTAATGGAATATAATTCAGCAATTAAAAATATCAAACCATTGATACATGTGACAGCATAAATGAACCTCAGAAAGATTATGTTAAGTGAAGGAAACCAGGTACAAAGACTATATATATTGTGTGATCCACTCCTGAAATTCCCACAAAAAGCAAACTTATAGAGACAGAAATAAGAGCAGTGTTTATCTGGAGAGGTCAAAGTGGTTATCTGGAGACTGACTGCAAATACATGGGAGAGAAATTTTGGTGGAGATGAAAAAGTTCTAGAAGTGGATTGTGGTGATGTTTGCACAGCTCTAAAAATTTACTAAAACTCAATGGGTAAATTTATGATATGTAAATTATACCTCAATAAAGTATTAAAAATATTTAAAATTAATATATGTTGTAATGAAATTTGCATTGAATAGATACCAGATTTCTTAAATGTATTATCTTTTCCCTATTTAAAGTGAAATTAGTGTAAAAATAGATTCTTAAGTCTGGAGAGGGATCATAGAAGATGGAAAGAATTTCAGCAGTATAGATGGAATGAAAACTTCACCATGTTTCAGGTAGAGGGAATAGCAAGAACAAAAGAAAGAGGTGAGAAAAAGGGGGGCACATTTAGGGATCAGTCTACTTGGCTGATGAAGATGAAAAATCTAGCAGTCCAGTCTTCTGAATTCCAGCTCATTGTTTCTCTTCAAGCAAAAGTCTGTATCTCATACAACTGGTTCTATTCTTCTAAAAAGAAGTTACTAAATACTTTTAGAATCACACCATTTTAGAAATGGAATGGGCCTTGCAAATTATCTGTTCGGCTCCTTCATTAAGAGTGTGTATATGTGTACACACAAACACACAGGTGCAGACACATATACTCACACTCATGCACATGCAGAAATCTGTAACTGCTTTTAAAAATTTCCCCCAGGGTGTTTAATTTTCCAATGAGGATAACCATCGTAAGAGAAAATGTAAGAACCAAAACGAGGTCCTAGTTTTCACCCTGACAGTACTATTTCCTCCCAGTCAGCAAAGGGCGTAACTCCCCACCCTGCACCCTACTGCAGACTGGGACTACTGCACACCCTAGCTGGGGAAAAAGGTTATGGTGACATTGGTGTCCTGGCAGGCCAAGCCGAGTTGGGAATTTGTGCATGAAGATATATACATTTCCTTGGGAAGTTGTAAAAGATCTTTTTGATTATTGTTTTATTTTGTTTCAGTCTAAATTACTCTTATGGGAAGTTTTGAAGAAGTATGCTGGAATCAGCAAAAACCAGGGTTCTCTACTTGATCATTAGTGCAAACATATTTGCATTTCCCTGGAGGTAGGGGCAGGGTGGAAGGGTGGCAGATTTTAGACCATATGAGTTAATTTTTTTTAAGCTGTACACTTCACTTTTTTTTTATTGTAGGACTGAGGAATCAAATACTCCTTTCAGAATCTGATTAACCTGAGAACACACCAAAAATTTCCAAAGATTAACATGTCCTCTGTGAGGCCCATTCTAGGATCCCCAGTAATTCATATTGAGACACCTCATTGGAGATATTTTTAAATTAATGCTGTCATTTATTAAATGAGTTCATAAATGAAGATGACTCAAGTATTAAAAAAAATTACTCATTATTCACACAGGTACAGATTCAACTTTCCACTGTTATGGCTTACTTGGTTTGAAGCCATTCTCAGAGGCTGCATTTGGAAAACAACTTGTTACCTCCCCAAGGTCTGTGTGAGTAGTAAACACACAAAATCTTAACCAGAGGCACTGCACAGCCAAGAATACATAGCAAATAGCAAAGATCACAGTGCCTCCTTTTATTGGAATAAATGTTTATTTGGACTGAAAAGAAATGTTGTCAGCACAATTGGGGCCAACAAATCAAAATTTTCAAAAGATACTTGCTGTGATTTTCTTGCTCAATACAAGCATAATTTTGTATGACCCAAGGTAGATGTTTTTCTAGATACGGATCTTTTTTTTCTTAATGAGATCTTGATACAAAATGTTACGTCTGAAGTTCATGCATGTTAATATGTATTCCAATTTGGCATCTCAAACTATTAACTTCTGTCTCTTAAAATTATCATTACATTAAAGGAGAAAACTAAGGAACAGAAAACCTTTTATCAAGGGTTTCACTCAATTTGCTTAGTCTCTATGAGTCTATAAACACAAATGTGTTGCTTCAATTCAAGATTCAGGTAGGGAGGCTCAATTGCTACCCATAAATCCCCTCATTTTGAGATGACCCGAGAGGTTAAATGGTTTGCCCACAGTTGCTCAGCTCATTAATAGCAGAGCTATGAGATGAAGCCAGGATTCTTGCCTACCTCGGTTCTTTCAACTATTGACTGCTAGCTCTAGCGGAGGATTTCTCTCTCAATTGCAGTACTGTGGACACTTTGGACAGCATAATTCTTTGTTATGGGAGGGGCTACCCTGTGTATTGTAGGATGTTTAGCAGCTTCCTTGGCCTCAATCCACTAAATACCCATAGCACTATCCCCAACCCCCACAGATGCGGCCCTAAAAGATGTCTCCATACATTGCAAAATGTCCCCTAGGAGGCAAAATTGCCCCCGAATTGAGAACCACTGTTTCAGGGTATCCGAACATCACCTCAGTTCAAGGCCTAACTTTAATCCCATCTTTTCCATCAGCTCTTTCCACTCCAACCCAACCCCTAGCGACCCTGCTCCCTTCCTAAATCACAGGACTTACCTCCTGACTTTTGTTGTTTATACCACTCTTTTCTTTTCTTTCTTTTCTTTTTTTTTTTAAGATTTTTATTGGGGAATTGGGGGAAGGGGAACAGACAAATTGCTGTCCTTTTGGTCTTCAGTCTAGTTGTGGAAGATGTTGCTTCACTGGCCCAAGTTGGCACCATCATTGCGCTCTTCCCGGGCGAGGCAGATCAGTCGCAGACTTCTGGATGGCTGCTCAGGGCGGCTGCTGGCCGCTCACGCTGGCTGCTGGCTACACACGGTAGTCCATGGCAACCCACTGCAGCAGGGGCTGCAGCCTACGTCGTCGCCGGCGACTCATGGCAGCCCAGCTCCAGGATGAGCTGTTGTTCAGCATCTTAGCTGTGGAGGGCAGTGTCACTGGCCCTCATATGTGGGATCCGAACCGGGGCCCTCTGGCGTCCCAAGCCAGCTCTTAACCGTCGCGCCACTCGGCCGGCCCTATACCACTCTTTTCTTGCTTTGAGACATCTCTTCTATATTTTTCTAAAATACCACATTCAATAATCTCTATACGTTATTTCCCTGATTAGACTACAAGCTTCATAAAGAAAGAAACCATACCTTAGTCTTTATATTTACTAGGTATCTAGAACATGCTTTACACATAGCAGAAATTCAAGAATATTCATAGGTTGGTTGATTCAGCATAATCAGTTTGCCACTAAACAGAAGTGAATTTTCCAGACATCTGAAGCTTCTTCTTTCAGTGTAGAATAAAATATTTTTCTTTTTTAATATTTTGATGGAAAAATTTCTAGTATTTACTCGCATCCCTGGAACTATCATTTGGGAAACCACCTGAATTAGAATCCCTGCAGATGAGCCTTCCTGAAAATGCTACTGTTGAGCCAGCCTTGATGGCCAGGAAAGTCAGGGGCAGAGAAAGTAGCCTGCCTAAAGTCACAGAGCTAGGAATTTTTAAAAGAAAACTTTCGAAAATCTTTTCACTACATCACTAAAATTGTTCCAGGTGATTGGAAATCTGTTCCTTCTACAAATACTTAGGAACAGCCTGATAAACACAACAAAATTAGTTGGGGGAGAAAGTCAGGAAGCATTCTCAGATACCTGGAGTGTTGCTGTAATAGACAATTATCTCCCAAGGATAATAGAGCCTCCAAAATAAACATTTTCCTGTTATATGAATGATCAGAATATAATCATTCACCAAATCTGGGTTTTTATGGACAAGGGCAAGTCAAAGGCAGTACAGTTTAGAGAAAACAGCATTAGATTTGAACCCATTCAAGACTGTGCTCAAATTTAGGGCTTCAAATTCAATTTCAACAAATGCAGCAGAAAGCTCTTACTTGTTTAAAGTGCAATGCTCAATGCAATGGAGAAACATACTGAGGAAGCCAGTGTGGCCCACCCCTGGGGGCAGAGGCACATGCAGAACTTGAATAATGCCATAACATGGGCCATAACTGGGAGAGAAACACGAGCTTCCAGCACAATTTCCCCAAATTGGATATAAGCCTATTGAACTACTTTTCAATTCCCTAGTGTGGGATTTTTGCACAATAGTTTCTCCTAAGCCACAGCAATACCCCACACCCTAGTGTAAATATATATCCTATAACAATATTTTTCATGTAAAACCATCTGCCATAGGTTTTCCTAGAGAGAAAATTCTAAGTTTTAAAAATAAATGTCTTCGTGAGAACATTTCCAAAAATATGGGTGACATAACTGAAGCTCTACAGGATGCTTAGGTGTTCTGCAAAATAGATAAATCCATGAATGGATCAATAAATATATAAATAAAGGTGAGGCTATATATGAACAAATAATTTTGAGGAACTACCAAGTGAAGCAAAATTAATGTTTTTTCTTTAACTACAGCATTTCTTAAAACATTTAAGGTAGGGCTGGCCGAGTGGCGCACTGGTGAAGAGCTGGCTTGGGACGCCAGCTCTGAGCAGCAGGGCCCCGGTTCGGATCCCATATGAGGGCCAGTGACGCTGTGCTCTCTACAGTTAAGATGGTGAACAACAGCTCGACCTGGAGCTGGGCTGCCGTGAGTCACCGGCGACGGCGTAGGCTGCAGTGAAGCTGCAGTGGGCTGCCGTGAGCTACCGTGAGTGGCCGGCAGCCAGCGTGAGCTTCCAAGAGCCGCTGTGAGCAGCTGTCCACAGGCCGGCGACCGATCTGCCTCACCTGGGAAGAGTGCAATGATAATACCAACATGGGCCAGTGAAAGCGACATCCTCCACAACTAGAGTGGAGAACAAAAGGACAGCAACTTGTCTGTTCCCCTTCCCCCAATTCCCCAATGCTGTTCCCCTCCCGCAATTCCCCAATAAAATCTTAAAAAAAAAAAACCAAAACATTTAAGGTACAAATATGTATTGTAACTATCTAAGAAGTAGCTCTGACAGACAGCATTGTTCAAACTTTTGTTTTTTCTCAAGCATTTTTCAAGACTCGAGTATTGTGGAACACTGCTTTGGAAAGCACTAACTTGAAATGTTACCATGATATCCTGCCCTTCAAAAGTTAGGATAAATAAGCACCCTAACTCTTCAAATGGAAGAAAAGTTTGTCCATTTGGCAAACAGACCAGAGGAATCTCAAATGTGGTCAGCAGTTGTGAGCACTTATAAAGCCTTGGCAACTCCTACAGGGAGTACAACACAGCTTTTCCCCATAACAACTATTGTTGGTCATATAACCATTAAAAAGCAATTAGATCACAATTGCATATGGTTCTGTTTTGGATGCAGATCCCATGATGTATTCTTGATGCTAATTTTTCCTTTGTTTCTATCACATAAATGCGAAATGACTTGAAATCTGAATATGTATTTGTTACGGACTAAACATTTCTGTTGTCCCAATTTTCGTATGTATGTTAGAGCCTTAACCCCTCATCTGACTGTATTTGGAGATGGGCCCTGTGAGGAGGCGATGCAAGTTGAATGAGGTCATCAGGGTGAGGCACTAATCCAATAGGGCTAGCTCTTTTATAAGAAGAGGACGCGATACCAAAGCACCTCCCCAACTTCTTAATATCTATCTCTATCTCTGTATCCCTCTCCCTTTCCCTCTGTCACTCTCTCCATTTCCCTTTTCCCTTTTCTCTTGCCCACGCTCCTTCTCTCCCTCTAAAGAGGTCTTGTGAGCACACAGGGAGAACACAGCTGCCTACAAGCCAGGAAGAGAACTCTCACCCAACACTGAACCCTGTTGGACCTTGATCTTGGACTTTCCAGCCTCCAGGACTGTGAGAAATAAATTTCTGCTATTTAAGTCAGGAAGTCTGTGGTATTTTGTATGGCAGCCCAAGCAGACTAATACAATATTGGACTAGCTACTGACCGATTCAGTCAAAACAACTAATCACATCAACGGTAAGTAAATTGAGGGTGTTTAAGGTTGAATCCACTGATCCATGGATTGAAAACAGCTAATGCCATTGACTATCTTCAGGTTTAGAGGAAGCAAAAACAAACAAGAAGCCTTGCATCTGCTGTGTCATGAGTGTTAAGAATCATGAGGGTGAAAAATTTTCCTATTAAAAATGTCCTTTTTCAAAAACTTGACCTTTATACTCATAAAGCTTTAAAAACAAAAACAAAAATCCTTACCCAAACAAAATAAACGAAAAGCCTTCTCCTGATTTTAAGATATTTTTACGCAAAAACACTTCAGTCCCTGATCTGTTCCAATGTGGCATCTAGCGGCTGAGTTCATAATGAAACCGTGCCTTTGAAAGGTGTGCAAACACGCTGCTGTCACACAGGGGGAAGGTAAACACATCTGCTCGCTTTAGAAAGGCAAACTCACAGTAGTCTGCGCAAATGCTGATGGTTGTTCAGGATTTGACAATGGAATGGCTTTAGTTTCTAGGCCATTGAATAGAATCCCTGTGCACCCAGACAACCCCCAAACAGCCTGTCACATACTGCAATGAGCCTCATCACTCCAGTCGTCACAGTCGTTGTAGCCATTACACTGCAGTTTCCTTGGGATGCAGATTCCACTGCCACACAGAAAGCTCTCGCCTCCTCCACAGAGCACTAAAAAAAAAGAAAAAAAGAAAAAAAAACAGGGCAGAAAAACAATGTCAGAATAACGGGTTTTCCTCCTCCTTTTAAAATTAGGATAAATAAATAAAGAAAAGAAAGAAAACCTTCCCTTGTTATTCAACAGATTTGTTCCCAAATTTCTTCAGTTTCATCAACACCAATTTTTCTTTGGCTCTCTAGAACCTTAATTGTGCAATTACTTGGGGATAACACAAAGAATGTTTGCTTGAGAAAAGCAAAAATAAATTTGCCAGTGGGCTTGCAGAGTGACGGGCATATCCATGTTCAGAGCACAAGAGCGTAGGCTCATCAACTGTACAACTTCTGTGTGGAAAATACCAAACAGGAGTGTTTTTCTTAATAACTGAAAATTATTTCAAAGTAAATTGCTATTTATTAAACAAACATCTTTTAAAAATTCTTACTTTTTAAAACACTACTCAATGTTGTTCAAAGTTAGAGTAAAAATAGTCAATTGAATTGTACTCGACACAGGCACAGAGACTCCATGCCCCTGTATTTGAAATACATCTGCTTTCTTTAATAAAAGTACCAGTTAAAAATATCGAAGTCTATTATTTCATAAAGAATGTAAAATAACACTCGATAATAATATTTAATTCTTTTTCTTAAAATGGTTGCATTTTGGTATTCATTGTTTTCAGAATTATGGTGCTCATTTTCTTCTAAAAATTCAACAAATAATCAATTCTTTTAAAATTACAGTAGACAATAGATATAAAAAAAAGCTAAAGGTTTTTTTTTTTAGGGCAAACCATTTAAATAAAAGGGTAAATCAATTCAACAAAATGGGTGTTAAAACACAAATATCTGGTAATGTGTATCAAATGCCTTTTATGTGCATAAACTTTGACCCAGCAATCTTATTTCTTGGAATTCATACAAAGGAAATTATTATGGATAAATGCAAGTTTTTATTTTTAAGGATATTCATACCATCATGGTTTATGATGAGGAAACTGAAATAACAACTCTGCAATAATAGAAAATTGGTTAAACAAATTTTGGTACTTGTTAAGAAGGAATACTATTACAGCCATTGAAAAGTATATTGTAGAAAATACTTAATGTCCTGGGACAAAGTTCAAGATAATAATTTAAGTGGAAAAACACCATGTGGTTCTAAAAAAGCATAATACAGTTTGGCCTAGAAAGTTTACTGTGGTTACCTCTGGTAGTAGGATTAAAAGTAAATTTTATCTTCTTCATTGTATTTTTACTCTGTATTTTACAAATGTTCTTATAATGACTATGTCTTACTTTATGAATCAAACAAAAAAAATACTAACTTTTTTCATGAGTTCTCAATTCAGAGTAACAGTAGATAAATACAACCCTCGAAATCTTCTCTCTTTGCCTCTCTCCACAAAAGCTAGTGTCGTCAGTTGCTTGCTCAACTGTTACCATTCCCTGAACTAGATGAGATGAACCTGTTGACAAACTAAAGGGAACCAGGTAACATAACCTAATGTTTTCACTCAGGAATCAAAATACAGAAAAGTGCAGACTGAATGCTCCAGGCTGTGAGGCCCACGTCCTTCCTATCTCCCATGTTCCTGGGCCCCAGCACAGAAGCTGCTACCCAGAATGTTCTAAATTAATATTTGATGGGAAAAAGTCACCTCAGTTTCAATGGAGCACAATATATTGCCACAAAGGAAAGGGAAAAAACAAACAAACTCAATGAATGGATTATTTTCCAATGCTATCAAGGAAATCAGTTTCAATTTGCTGAACATTAAGTACCAGTTGATTTGGAAAGTTTCTTATGATGCTACTTCAAGTATAATTTTCAAAATATCAACAACAAAAGTCCACTTTTGTACTCTATCCCATGATTTCCATATCAATACAAATTATATCTATGGACTTTAACTGCCAAAATATGAAACATGTTTATATTTTGTATAGTCCTAGAGGACTTAGCACAGGACTTCCCTTCTATAGCTACGGATACAGACTCCTCCAGGGTACACAGGAAACCAGATATAAAATGAAAAACAGTAAGATTTTACCAGCCAGTCTATACAATATCCTTTCTAAGATTTAGAGAAAATTTTTCAAGGAATAAGTGTTTATCCTACTGTGAGATTGTTTCTGTATTATACTGGAGAGTGCATAAATTCCATCTGTCTGCATTTCAGCAGCTGCAATGCCTCAGAAGAATTATTGCTTTCCCTACCTTATGGTTCTGATGATTCCTTGGAAATGTAGGTGAAAGCTCAACATTAAATATCTCCTAACATCTAGAATTCATCTTTAAAACCCTATATATTTTACTCCAACAAAGCCATTTCTTGTGTATGGTTATATCAAATCTGGATCACATTTAAAACATGGCATTGCTCGCGTTGTTTTGATTATCACTAGCTATCCGTGTCTTGGCTGAATCAGCAGCAACTGACGTCTTTTGTGTGGTTCCTCAGTGGGAGGTGCGGCTGCCCTTGATTTTAGAACATCGTCAATTGTTTCTTTATTCTTTCTTTAGAAGTTCATAATTTCATTGATTAATATTATTTTTGTAAAATTATAATAACTTTTGTATATACTCTTTTTGATTCCTCTTTAATCTGTTTTTGGGTTTTCCACTTTTATTTGTGTAAACTGTTCAGCTAGCAAGGTATTTCACACACATCTTATTTGGAATTTCCAAACAGCTCCATGAAAAAGACAGGTAGGCATTCTACCGGATCTTCCTTGGGGAGGGGGGAAGTGGTAGTTTACAAATAGATGAACTAGAGTGTCATGTGGTTAAGACAGCACTTGCCGAAAGCCATGTTGCTAGGAAAAGGTCAAACCCTCCCCAGAATAGTGAGTTCTGGGGTCCAGACCCAATCCTCCACACCATACCCAATCCTTGTTCCTAATACAGAGGCAGGTGTGCAGTCACCTAATATGTGATCAGTTCAAAGGCATGAGGTTCAAGGACAAGTTCAAACTTGTCTTTATTTTTCCCTCTAAATGGAAGATAAATGTGTGTCCTTCAGGCAAATTGGACCAGATGAGATGACATTCCATCAGCTCTGGATTTTTTGAAGAACACCCTGAAAGAACTATTAAAAAAGTTTCTGTAGAGGTTTTTGACCATAAATTTCACTATTTTATAACAACCGTCTTCTAACAGCCTTTAGATTTAGCCCTTAAGATGATGAAGGAAGATTCCCTGAGGCAAAGTGATGCTTTACATTCTTGACACCATTTCCATTAATATCACCTATAATTCTAAGAGATATATATTGCACTTTAAATCAATGGCAGATTGACCTAAGGAAGATTCATTCGTTAATTGAACAATTATTTACCGAGTATGGACTGTGTGCTAGGCATTATTCTAGCACCTGGAAATATACCAGTGAAGAAAACAAAATTAATTCCCCACCTTCAGGTAGCATATATCATATAATCTACTGATCATCATCTGATAAAGATATGTTTACCAAGTAAAGATGCATCCTCACCAAAGTTTACATTTACACATGGGACAATTAATTACTATTAATGCAACCTCAGCAATATACAAAGGTGTATTGCCTAAGACACTACTTTACATGTCCAGATGATGGAGTCAATTATAAATCACTTGGACTTCAGAATTCCATGGATTCTAAAGAGTACATACCCATGAAGATGATCAGCTCTTTTTGGTATTCTTGTCTATAATTACAGACTGCTGAAAGAGCCTCCATAGTCTGAAATGACCTTTAGATTTTCTGCAACTGCTTTCAGCCTTCTCACTTCTCTCTGCCTGTGTATTATGGGCAGCATGTATATTGGCAAATGCTCTCATTACTCTGGTTGTTAACTTTTAGAGTCTATTTCAGAAATTACTCACTAATCTCTGGCAGTATAGTGTCCTCATTCAACCTGTCTTTGAGCCCTGTTTTAAAGTCTGAAACTCAAGTTCAACTCTACCTCTGAAGTGAAAGCCAACCTGGAATAGAGCATCATCACCTGAACCTGTACTAAGTGCTTCTCAGTCCTTTATCGTGCATTCTACATTCTGCTTGAAGTTAAGTCACTGCCAACCATTTTGTGCTTACCTTTTACAAAGTTATTTGACTAGAAGAAAAAAAATGAGTGTTATCTCCTAGCAGCGAACACAAGAATTCCACTTGAGGACAGCACTGTATCTTTGGGCATAATAGGTTGATACAATGCTTGGGTGAAAGATAAGAGGTGACAGAGCAGGGGAAAAAATGCCAATTTAGGCTCAAGTAAGCAAACTTTGTCTTCACCCTGCCTTCTACGTTATATTAACTGGAAGGCTCTTCATTTTGTTGAATATTCATGCGGTTGGGGTAGGGATGTATGGGTTATATCAGAAAGCTCTGTGTAAGTAAAGAGTGAGGAGCCCCATGGGAAGAGGGAGAGGGGCCAGTGTGCTGGGCCCTGACATGAGGGAGAGAGAAATTTTAAAAGTTGGTTGAGTTTCCCCGAGAAGCACAGTACAGAGGAAACCCTTTGGAAAACAGAAATATCTACTGGGGTATTTCAAGTTGTTTTCTGAGGAATGGGAAATAGAACCACGTCCTCCATCTGCCATATGGAATCAGCAAAGCTTATGCTGCTGTCTAATTTTTTCACTCATGAACTTAGCCAATTTGGCACTCTTCTAGGAACCTGGGGCACATCACTGAAAGCAGAATAGATCTCTTGCTTTGTGGAGGTTATAGTCTAGAGAGACAAACAATATCAATGAAGACAATACATAAGAAAATTATTGTATATTAGGTCATAAGGTAATAAGTGCTATGTTGAAAAAAATAGAGTACAACAGATTAAGAAAGATAGGAGTTGTAGGGGTGGGGTAGGACAGGTCCCCAAATTAATTAGCATGCTGGGGCAGGGCTCATGGAAAGTTGACATGTGAGCAACAGTTTGAAAGATGGGAGGGAGTTAACCAAATCACAGGGGAAGATTTCAGCAGAAGGAAGTGCTAATGCAAAGACCATCAGGCAGGAGCACATCCG